ACCCTCTAATTTCATGGTTTGGTTCAATCCTCTCAAAACATCAAGGCAAGGTGGTGACGGCATCAGATACCTTCAGCATACGTGGAAATATGTGCCTTCAAGTCACTTTTTGCCTGCCTGGACAGGTCCCTGCCCTACAATTTTCTTCTCAACACTTTCAGAAGGGTCTTGCCATTTCCTTCTTCCTAGGGCTGAGCAAGAATGACTGATTCAAGTCACCCAGCTGGCTTTGTGCCTAAAGTGGGAGTTTTAGCTCTCAGTCTTCTCGTTTCTAGCCTAATGCCTTAATTTTTACATGTAATTAATTGTTCCAAACAGAATGAAGGTCTGTTTTCTATAGTTTACCTAAGCAGTACAGAAGGATTAGACAATCTCGTGCCATCTACAAACCCTTCATTCCTCATCATTTGCTTTTTTTGTCACACCTTATTTCAGTCATCATCAGATCCTCAGACCGCACTATTATAACTTTATAATGAATGGACAGAGGTATTCAGTGGATCTAGTCTTTTCATAAAAAAATCATAAAAGCAGTGTCACTCTGCAAGGTTTCTCCATTTTGTGTGCATGTGCGATATGAAAAATCATGTACGAAAGTGGTCCAACTTTTTAGGTAATGGTGAAATCCTGCACAAATCATCAGTCCCCTCCACCAGTTCCTTCCTTATGAATCCCTCTGTGGGCATTCTAAAGCTTATAATTGCTATTAGATTGATACATAGCTTACTATGCTAATAAACTGTTAATTATTCCTCTTTCTTCTCCTCTTGCTGCCTATTTATTTCTAAAAATGGGGTTTCAGATTCTCATGGAATCAGACATTGTATATTCCAGAAGGAAGGTAGGAACCCAGGAAGGAATGAAGGTGTCCATAGTAAAGTGAGAACATGGTGAATACAACAGACAACTGGGGATGAGATGGGGAAAAAAGAAAGTGACTTATAGGATATTATGAGTGACTCATAGGACATTATGAGAAGAGGTGGAAATGCTAGAAGCTGGCTTGTGGAAATTGTGTATTCCACAATTTGATAATTTGATTGCAGGCTGTTAGAAGCATTTTAAGGTCCTTAATATTATTACCAGAATATTATTTTTGGCATCACCGAAGGAGGAAATGATTAATTAGAAGACTAAATATATAATTTCTTAACACTTAATTTTGATTAAGCGATACCTGAAATTAAAATATGAATGAAATTAAATGAAATATAAATGTCATTGGGGCCTGCTGTATATTTTTATAATGTTGTTTCAATTTTGGGGGTGAGGAACATAAAGAGCAAGATGGTGGCTTCATCACCATGGTCAAAGCCTCAGCCATTTTGTTTGCACATCAATGTTGACTGCATATACAAAAGAGAGAGGCTCTGATCATCTTTTGACATGTCCTATAGTAGGTATGCTATCTAAGCAGTATTAAGCCATCTTTGTTCTCTGGAATGAAGACTTTAAGCTTAACTGGAAGTTCAAAAGCCAAGAAAATTTAGTATTTTTATCCATCTAACCTCCAAGAACTGAGCTCTGCGGAGAGGTATTTTTTAATGTTTGCTCTGGAAAACCACTAAAAATCCATGTGTGAAAAAAGTTACAGATCTCTACCAGCCACAGTTCTTGCATGCCATTATAGTAGTTAGACAAATTAAAATGGAATTACTGCTAAACTCCCATCAACTGTGTTGATATATTTCTCTTAGCCATAATGTGGATTACTTCCTTTTGGGATAGCCCGATGCTCAAGGACAGTCAAGGAATAAACTCTAGTTTGTTTCAGAGCAATTTGGAACCACAGGTTTTTGTTAGTTAACTGATGGCATCTGTGGCTTAGTTGGATGAATGAATAACCAGTGTTTGGGTAGAAGGGTAAAAAAAGGCATGAAGGGAGCTGCAATCATGCAGTCATGTATGTGTGTCTGATGTTGGCACACATACAAAAGGAACAGTGTTTTGATTGCATAATTGTGCCTGCATTTTCCTGCTATGAATGTCTCCCATGGTCACCCCTATATAAGGAAGCATGGCTTTTCTGTGGTTCCCTAGCTTATTTGAAGTTAAGCTTGTGCACCCATCACAATTTCAAATGAAGGAGACAGTTGTGCAAAGCAAAGAGAAAGAGAGAGAGAGAGAGAGAGAGAGAGAGAATGGCCAAACAAACTTTGATCATTGGCAAGTGACATTAAGGTTTGTCTCTTACATGCTCAATAAATGGTGGCTCTAACAAGTCATGGATTAATGTTACCTATGACTTTAGACATTGACTGGCCCTTCAAATGTCCATCATGTTTATTGGATTAATAAGGGAGCAGGAAAAGGCAGGTGGCAGGCTCTAAAATAGAAGGAGTGTATGAAAAGGGGGGAAATGGACAGGGAGAAAGAAGCACACATGTTGGGGCCAATCAGGAACAATGTACCCTAGATTTTCTGAACTCTGAGTTGTGCCTTATTCTTGCTTGTTGGCTATGAAGGAGCAGAGGTAACTTCAGTTCAGATCTGGGGAGGAAAAAAGTGGTATAATAACTTAGTGTCACAGTACTAAATATCACCCATTGGAATCATGCTAATTATAGTAATTTGCCCATCTCTCTCAAATGCTCACTGTCTTTCAGAAGCAAATAAGCAAATCTAAAAACTTTTTTTTTTAAATCCCTGTGTTTTTTAGATATAGGATAGGACAAGGAGAGGTTCTTCCAGAACTTCTACCCACTTCTTGAAGAAAAATGACATTGAGCTGGCTTTACATTCTGGGGGTTAAGTACTAAATTGGCAATGCTTTGAATTTAGGCTTCTGCATATCATTTGAAGAAGCAGTCTTGACAGAGCTTGGTATTAATCATGACAGGTTGTTGTAGTGGGTTGATCCAAGATAATCTGCAGCTAAAGAGCCCCTTGGCTGCTTGCTTGTGGAGCCCAGTGGTGCTATCACTGCTTCAAGCCTGCAAAGTAAATTCTCTGAGCTGCCCTCAAAACGAATCCCTGCTTGTCCCACATGAATGGTACCAACCAGGTGGCCTCACCATTGGTGGGATTGTTTCTCAAATTGTGTATATTGCTCTTGAAATGTTTTTTAAAGAGAATCCTTCCAAGAAGCTTTTTGAGGTTCCAAAGTAAGGGTTTATTTTATGTTTTATTTTATTTTATTTATTTATATTATTTGTTTATTTACATCTGCTTTACATGATCTCATCCATATTGCAAACCCTAAGAATTCTTTATAAAAAATATTGAATGCTTGATGGAAAGCTTGGATAGGCTGGTCTTTCTCATGGGTGTTCCTTCCTGTCAAGTCTTTCCTAAAGTAACGTTTTAAAAATATGATGGATTCTCTATTTTCCTGCCAAGGAAACTTTCAGCAGAAGTTAAAACTTTCTTAAAAACTCACATTCAGTCATGTTATAGAGGGAAT